TTCACTGTTCATACAAAAAAAAATAATTTGTGCATGTGTCATTTTTAATTACATAAAATCAACAAACACGCTGAATACATTTTAAAATACCTAAAGCATGCTTTTAAAACAAGTTTTCATCTTGCCAACCCCTTTTTGTCACTCACCCTTATATAAAACTGCCCAGATATCAAAATGGTAAGACGACGATGAAAAAAAATCACAAATATTTCAACTCATGTTTAGTCAGGTTTTGGAAAACTACAAACCAGTAAGAAATGGTTTTGGCTAGGTTCTGCTGTCAAAAGAAAGACTTTTTTTGCACATTTTTGACATAATAAATATGAATTATTATTAATTTTATTAATATTTATGACCAAATTAATCTGTAATCCTTACTGCTAACCTTTGTAGCTTTATAATATGCTCCTCCACTCTTAAATGGCAAAAAACTGCTCCTCTTTCTACAAAGCCTCAGCATTATCAAATGCATCATTTTTATTATTTTGTATGTATTTATTTATTTTAAAGCTGCCTTTGTCAGTTTTATTTCAATGTATTTGTTCAGTACTATTTGTGTGGGTTTTAAGAGCAGTGGGTGTGTGGAAGGTTACTGGTCAACTATACCTGGTAGTCACAGCTGGATGCTTTGTAAGCAGCACTGAGGGGTCTCATGACAGATCGGGGAGTTGATAGAGGGTGACTGGGGGTACTGGGAGCCTTCACCGAGGGTGTGAACACAGAACTGGAAGTACTGCTCTTGTCTGAACTCTCCATTACACTCTGAAAAAATAAATAAATAAACACTCACAATGTAACATTACCACTGTTACAATTACAACCAATAGAATTATCGCTTCTGTGCTTCTTACCTTATCGATACAAGGTTTGACGCCAATCATTATGGCTTCTCCAAATATCTTTCCATCTTTACTGAGAGCTTTTCGTGCCTGCAGTTTAGACTGATACTGAATGTGCATCCAGTTGCCTGAATTAGACATCTGTAAATGAAATAAACAAACTTTTATAGAACACAATCCATATAGAAAAACCTGTCTGCAGTGCTGAAACTTGACTGTACTTACCACATGTTTTAATATATTTCCATACTGTGCAAACTGTAAAAGGATGTACGACGCAGATGCTGGAGGGAATCTGTGTGCAAACAAACATAAAATGCATGCCATATGTAGACGTGGACACTATAAAGCCTGACACATCATATCTGTGCAAATGGAACAAATAAGTTAATTAATTAATGATCTAAACACACCCAAAAACTGTGACCCAGGTGTCATCTAGCTGGTCTTCTGAGGACAGAGCATCTCCTTGTGTGAAGAATGGATCTACTTGAGCTGGGGAAAGTGTTGTTTTCCTCTGCTGCCCC